TTCTTTTCAATGAATACTCTGACTCCATCTTGAATAACTTCTTCGTCGGAATCTCCTTTTGTCTTCCTGTATTCTAGAGCATAAGAAAGGCCATTACAGCCCCTGGCTCGCACACCAACTTTTACACCTATATGCTCAGGCTTATCCTTAAGAAGTTGTTTTATCTTGTTTACTGCTGAAGGTGTCAGGGCGAGGGCGGTCCGGGTGGGCTGACGCTTCCTCTTGCTTACAGCCCAGACAGTTGCCGGGACTAAGGAAGCCGACATCTTCGCCATCCGGGTGCTCCAGTACCTCAAGCCCGGCCGCCTCAGCCTCTCTCCATGGACATGGCGGGGGCATTCAATTCAAAGAATTTTTAAATTTCCATCTTGATTTCATCCAACGCTCATTCAGAAACAGGTTGATCTTTAATTTTTTAATTTAATTTCCATGTATTTATTTAATTCCTAAAATTTATTTAATTTCCATGTATTTGCATGGTTTTGATCATTCATTTGAAGTTGGTTTTCACTTTTATTCCACTGCAGTCTGAGAGAGTAGTTGATATAATTTTGATTGTCTTAAATTTATTGAGACTTGTGGCCTATCATATGCCTATCTTGGAAAATGTTTCATGTGCTGATGAGTAAAATGTATATTCTGCAGTTCTTGGATAGAATGTTTGTAAATATTTTTTAAGTCCATTTGTTCTAGGATATAGTTTAAGTCCATTGTTGTTGTTGTTGTTAACTTTCTGTCTTGATGACTTGTCTAGTGCTGTCAGTAGAGTATTGAAGTCCCTCATTATTATTGTATTGTCATCTATTTCATTTCTTAGGTCTAGTAGTAATTGTTTTATAAATTTGGGAGCTCCAGTGTTAGGTGCATATATATTTAGGATTGTGATATTTTCCTGTTGGACTAGTCCTTTTATCATTATATAATGTCCCTCTTTGTCTTTTCTTTTAACTGTTTTTGCTTTAACATCTGTTTTGTCTGATGTAAGAATGGCTACTACTGCTTGCTTTTGGGGTACCTTTGCATGGAATATCTTTTTCCAACCCTTTTCCTTAAGTTTAAGTGAGTCCTTATATGTTGGGTGAGTCTCTTGAAGACAGCACATATTTGGCTTGTAAAATCTTTTTTTTTTTTTTTTTTTTTTTAGTTGGAGTTGAGTTCTTGTTGTCTAGACTGGAGTGCAATGGCATGATCTCAGCTCACTGCAACCTCTGTCTCCTGAGTTTAAGTTATTCTGCTACCACAGCCTCCTGAGTAGCTGGGATTACAGGCATGCACCACCACGTCTGGCTAATTTTTTTGTATTTTTAGTGGAGGCAGGGTTTCTCCATGTTGATCAGGCTGGTCTCAAACTCCTGGCCTCAGGTGATCCACCCACCTCAGCCTCCCAAAGTGCTGGGATTACAGGCATGAGCCACTGCACCCAGCCTGGTAAACTCTTATCCATTCTGCCACTCTGTATCTTTTAAGTGGAGCATTTAGGCCACTAAATTAGTAGCATTTAGGCCAATAATCACTATCAGTTATACCACCATACATTACAATGCCTGTCATTGAAAGGCTTGAACACACTGTAATCCATTCATTTGGATTCAATTTTGCAGTTATGGTGGAGATTTTGGCCTATTGATCATCCTGCTGATTAAATAGTCTGTCAAGAGAAAGCAGAGATGTATGGGCACCAACATGGAAAACAGCGATAATGGTAGTGTGTCCCAGGATTCAGATATCTTCCCAGTATTCTTTTCCCCAAACCTCTTTATTCCCAATTAACCATTTGTTTTGTTACCATTGGGGTATCCAGTTAGTAAGACCATTTGCTACAGACCGAGTTGGTATACAAGTGACAAATCCCTCTGGCCTCCTCTTGAATAGCTTGGAGGATGGCTACTAGTTCAGTTAACTGGCTGCTCCCACCCCTTCCTTCATCATAAATGCTTATGTTTTTAATAGAATTATAAGCCACGGCCTTCGAGCATAGGGTCCCCAATGTATTTGGTGGATCCTTCATAAACCAAGCATGTTTCTGATCCTCTGGGCTTAGTTCTTTAAAGGATCTGCCCCATTGGGCAGGGGAGGTTTCCTTCCCTATTTGTAGGACTTGCTCAGTGATTTCCTGAGCTGGGAAGTTTCATACATCCTCATGTAAAACTGATACCCCCTTTGGTTTTGGCTTAGCCTGGTCTTGTATGTACCATTTCCATTTTATGGTACTACATTCTTGGGCATGCCCTGTCTGGTGGGTTTTGGGGGAACTCAAGACCAGGTAATACTAGGAATTTCAGGCCTCATAAAGACATCACGGTTGAAGCAGAGGTGTTTCATTTTCAGCAAAGCCCAATAGCAAGCTAACAATTGCTTCTCAAAAGGGGTATAAGCTTTTCCGGCCTTTGGCAGTTTCTGGGTCCAAAACCTGAAAGGTACCCTCTTCCCATCTTGTTTCTGCCTAAGGCTCCAATTAGCATGTTGATCTAGGACAGTCATTTGCAGTTCTGCTGGCCCATCCTATATGGGCCACAGATCCAGGGCCAGTTGCACCACTTGTTTAGCTTGTTCAGAAGTCATGCTGTCTCTCCCCAATGAAAGTCATAGCATTTTCTAGTGGCTGCATGCAGAGGTTGTAAAATGTTACCCAAGTGGGGAATATGATGTCTCCAGAATCCAAACAAGCCAATACATTTCTGAGCCTACCACTAAAAGTGGTAGGGGTTGCAAATTCTAGATTTTAGCCTTAGTCTTTGGTAAAATGGACTATTTCTGTGCATTCCACAAGACACCAAGGAATTTTACAGTTTGTGCAGCTCCTTAAATTTTACTAGGCTAATTTCCCATTTTTGAGATAGGAGCTGGGTTTTTACTTGTTCCAAGCCCCAGCTGACTAGTGCCTCAGTTTCACCCTGACTGGGCCACTTGGACAGCTGCTTTTTTCAGCAGTAGGCTGATAGCTTTGAGCCTGATCAGTCAAGACATAGGCCTGGCATTGGGCCAGGGCCAATCTGGACGTCAGATTAGCATTTTCCTTTTCCAACTTACATCTCTCTTTTTGCAACCAGCCCCTAACTTGACATATTAACTTATAAGCAGTAAGCAAACACCATCCACTCTGAGAGATTCCCTCAGCATCTTTTGTGCTGACTAGAATCCCCTGCAGCACTTCATGCACAGTCAGAGATTTAAATTGCACTAATTTAGATTCTCAATTCTCACAAAGGCCAGTTTCCCTGGACCATTCAATCGCCAAGGGGGAGAACTGGGGGAGTTCCCATACCAGGGTATGGGAAGTTCCTGAGCCTCCAGCCCTGTCCTTGTGGCCAAAAAGAGGCACACTTTTGGTTTATAATCCTGTTTGTAATGCCAAAAATGTTCGGTGAGGGAAAGGCGTGAGGGGAGAAGAAAAGACACATACAGAATATCTTTAAGAGTAAACAAACTTTATCCCATGTAAATGGCAATGCAGATATAATAAGCAAATGATATAATAAGCAAGTAAATATAATAAGCAGATTGATATAATAAGCAGATTCATATAATAAGCAAGTTACAATGGGAAGAGGAGATGGGAAAAGAGATATATATATTTACACTCACCAGACTATGGAGGATTCGCCACCAGAGTGGGAAGCAACAGCCTGGGCTCCAGAGTTGGACACTTGCCCATGCACAGATGAGGAGAGGTCTCTCATGGAGCTTCAGTGCAGTCTAGGACCCTAGCTCTTTTGAAACGAATTGTTTGGCACAAGGTCCATTCATGAGGGCCATTCGTGACTGGGCCCAAGGAACACAAAAAGGTCAAGTGGTTTTTGCGATTGCCTATTGTTTTTCAACAACTAACGTATAGGAATAGATTGAAATAGAGATTTCTCCAATACAGCGCTGGATGAACGCCTCAAGCAGCTCACATAACCTGTTCCGGGACTTGGTGACCATTGTTTGTGTCCACGTTTGATAGACTTCAAATTTAATATTTAACTTTTCCTCCACACCAGAGTATGGAGGATTCACCATCAGACCGGGAAGCAACAGGCTGGGCTCCAGAGTCGGACACCCATCCCTGCACAGACAAGGAGAGGTCTCATGAAGCTTCCGCGCGATCTGGGACCCTAGCTCTTTTTGTAACGAGTTCTTTGGCATGAGGCCCAGTCATGAGGACCCTTCACAAACGGGCTTAAGGAACACAAAAAGGTCAACTTTTTTTTTTGCGATTGTCTATTGTTTTTCAATAACCAATGTATTGGAATAGATTGAAATAGAGATTTCTCCAAAACAGCACAGGATAAACGCCTCAAGGGGCACACATAACCTGTTCCAGGACTTGGTGACCATTGTTTGTGTCCATGGTCAATTAAGTTCAAATTTAATATTTAAGTTTTCCTCCACAAATTCCCCTGTCTTGATGAATTGGCTCTGTCTAGGCAAAGGGCAAGGTGAACCCCTTGGGCCGTTACACAACCTCCACCTCCTGGGTTCAAAAGATTCTCCTGCCTCAGCCTCCAGAGCAGCGGGGACTACAGGTGTGCACCACCACACCCTGCTAATTTTTTGTATTTTTAATAGAGATGGGGTTTCACCATGTTGGCCAGGCTAGTCTTGAACTCTTGACCTCAAGTGATCTGCCCACCTTGGCCTCCCAAAGTGTTGGGATTACAGGCTTGAGCCACTGCACCTGGCCCTAAATGATTTCTTTCTACCTCCTATAGCAGTTTGAAAGTAAAGGTTGTTTCAAATAGAAAAATAAAAATAATGTGGATAAAAATAAAATATAAAAAGTTAAGAAAAATTACAAGAAATTACAAAATATATATGTAAATCTGGAGTGTTCAAAAATGACAAATTTGATTTATTTGTAAAGTTTTATTAAAATTCGCTTTACACTGTTACCAAAGTAAAAGTTGATTTTCTCTTAAACAAAAATTTTATGTATTATTAATATGACAGCAGAATACTTCTGTTCACCTTTTGAATATATTAAAAAAGAGAGAGAGTAAAGAAGATAAAATTTTCCCATGCTCTGGGGTGGGTCTGGCTCAGCTCAGGGAGGAAGTCCTGTTTGAAAAGGCTGCAGCTGGCCGGGTGCGGCGGCTCACGCTTGTAATCCGAGCACTTTGGGAGGCCGAGGCAAGCGGATAAGTTGTGGACAGGAGTTTGAGACCAGCCTGGCCAATATGGTGAAACCCCGTCTCTATTAAAACTAGAAAAAAAAAATTAGCCGGGCATGGTAGGGGGCGTCTGTAATCTCAGATACGCAGGAGGCTGAGGCAGGAGAATTCGCTCAACCCAGGAGGTAGAGGTTGCATTGAGTCAAGATCACGCCATTGCAATCCAGCCTGGGAAACAAGAGTGAAACTCTGTCTCAAAAAAATAAATAAATGAAAGGAAAAAAAGAAAAGGCTGCACGCTTACACTGTTACTCTTCACTCAGTCCAGCATCTGATCACGTCTTCTGTCACTTAGGACCTGAGGAGGCGGGGCCTTAAGCATTATCCAATCAGGGACGCTGGGCTGCAAATAGTCCAGTCAGGTAGGCAGCTGGAGCGAACAGGATTGCTTCCGGCTTCCGGCCTTGGCGTGCCCATTGTCTCTCGGCCGTCAGAGCTTCAGGTGTCGTCTTGCTCTGTGGCGTCTGCTCCTAGAGGCCCAGCCTCTGTGGCCCTGTGACCTGCAGGTATTGGGAGAGCCACCGCTAAGACGCTGGGACCCCCTGGAAGCCTAGAAATGGTGAGTGCCGGTTCGACATCCCGAGAGACGGGGAGGGACTGGTTGGAACTGGGGAGGAAGTGGCTGTGGCAGAATTTAGGCCTCCCAGCAGTTAGCTCCGCAGTCTGCGCTCCAAGTTCTGGTTGCCTACTTCCGCCTGAGCCATAAGATGGCGGCTGCGTTGTCAGCGGGGCCCCGGGGCGTCCTGTCTTTTCCTTGCTCAGTGACTGTGCCCTGGCCTGGAGCCCTCTCCGGGCAGCTCTGCACCAACAGGTCTTTCCCAGATTGTTTAGGGACCACGGGAGGGTCGTCAGGGGAGAATCCTGACTCGGGGTACGGGTTCATGAATGGGAAGAGCTTTGGTTCGTGGGGTTCACAGTTTCTCTTTTCTCCTATTAAAAATTTATGGGGCCGGGAGTGGTGGGTCACGCCTGTGATCCCAGCACGTTGGGAGGCCGAGGCGGGCGGATTAGTTGAGGTAAGGGGTTCAAGACAAGCATGGCCAAAATGGGGAAACCCCATGTCTACTAAAAATACAAAAGTTAGCTGGGTGTGATGTCAAACGCCTGTAGTCCCAGCTACTTTGGAGACAGAGGTGAGAAAATCGGTTGAACCCAGGAGGCGGAGGTTGCCATGAGCTGAGATCGCGCCGCTGCACTCCAGCCTGGGCGACAGAGCTAGTTTCTGCCTTAAAAAAAAAAAAAGGGGCCGGGCGCGGTGGCTCAAGCCTGTAATCCCAGCACTTTGGGAGGCCGAGACGGGCGGATCACGAGGTCAGGAGATCAAGACCATCCTGGCTAACCCGCTGAAACCCTGTCTCTAGTAAAAAATACAAAAAAATAGCCGGGCGAGGTGGCGAGCGTCTGTAGTCCCAGCTACTCGGGAGGCTGAGCCAGGAGAATGGCGTAAACCCGGGAGGCGGAGCTTGCGGTGAGCCGAGATCTGGCCACTGCACTCCAGTCTCGGCGACAGAGCGAGACTCCCTCTCAAAAAAAAAAAAAAAAGCGAGGAGTCATCGCAAAAATATCAAATAATTTAATCAAAGAGTGATTCAAGAATTGTAGAGCACCCAGCTACAGTTTGTGGTTTGTGGTCCATGGGAGGGGCTTGAAGGAAAGACATTTATAAGGTGCATGATGAAGAAAACCAAATTAAATAATTGGTTAGGTATACTTACGTAGTTTTTATTTTTTTTATGTTTATTATTTATTTATTTTTTTTTTTGAATCTCGCTCTGTCGCCCAGGTTTGAGTGCAGTCGCTGGATCTCAGCTTACTGCAAGCTCCGCCTCCTGGGTTCACGCCATTCTCCAGCCTCAGCCTCCCAAGTAGCTGGGACTACAGGCGCCTGCCACCGCCAGGCTAATTTTTTGTATTTTTAGTTGAGACGTGTTTCACCGTGTTAGCCAGGATGGTCTCGATCTCCTAACCTCGTGAGCCACCCGCCTCGGCCTCCCAAAGTACAGGGATTACCGGTGTGAGCCACCGTGTCCAGCCTAGTTAGGTAGTTTTTAAATTTGTACAATCGAGGTGGAAATTTCTTGGTTATGTAATCAGAGTTTAATTGGCAGTTTATAGTTGCTTAAGCCTGAATTTTTTTTCCCCTAATGTAGTAATTTACCAAAAAATGCACTTGAGTTTTGACTTTTTTTCTTAGAGGTAGGAATCTGGGTACTAGACCTTCCTCATTCTAATTGTCTGCCACTTAATTATTTTCACACCCCACAGGGGACTGATTTTCCCTCATGTTCCTCAATTAATCTTTTTTTTTTTTTTTTTTTTTTGAGACGGAGTCTTGCTCTGTCGCCGTGCTGGAGTGCAGTGGGGCGATCTCCCTGCAACCTCTGCCTCTTGGGTTCAAGCAATTCCTCTGCCTCAGCCTCCTGAGTAGCTGGGAGTATACGCGCGTGCCACCACGCCCAGATAATTTTTGTATTTTTAGAAGAGAGAGGGTTTCACTTTGTTTGTCAGGATGGTCTCTATCTCTTGACCTCGTGATCCGCCCGTCTCAGCCTCCCAAAGTGCTGTGATTACAGACGTGAGCCACCGGGCCTGGCCAATAGTCATTTTTTAAAAAGCATTGCATAACGCTATTGAAAATATGTTCCCATGAGAAGAAAGCAAAGAATAATTCCCTGATACTGTATTGTAAAAACTATCTGTGCCTCTTTGTCTTTTATTTTTCCAGAGAACTTACCGAATGTTTTTGGGTCAAGATTACCCTCTGGAAACTTAATAGGATGATGTGTCCTCAGTCAACCTTCAGTGGTCCTGGGTTTTAGTACTTTCTGGGGATAAACCAAGATACCCACCATGGCTATGTCTGCTAGAGTGTCTAGTGAATATTAGCTCTTGGGTCATTTTATGCCATAGGACCACCTGAAGTATAGAGTGTAGCCTCTGAAGGGAGCAGGTGGCAGCCTTGGGATTGAAAGACAGATCCTGGTGCACTTTTTTTTTTTTTGAAAAGCTAACCCCTTGCGACATGAAGATTGTCTTCACTCAACCTAGCTTCCATTTCTTGGAGACAACATTGCTGGTCAGCCAATCAGATGCTGGTATTGAGGGGAAAACAAATAATTTCTGCCCCCTGGATTCTCTTGCTTGGGCAGCAGAAAAGTAGTGAAAAATTTGTGAAAAAACACTTCAAAAGACAAAAAAACTGATCCCAGTGAGATGGCGTAAAAAAGAAAGTAAAATGCACATGGGGCACTCACTGGGGCATAGCGCAGTGTTTTCTGGGAGGGTAGTTATTGAGCATGTAACTGAACAGGATGGGGTGGGTGATAGGATCTGTAGCTTGAAAAGATTTGTTCACTTATTTTAACCTCAAGTGTTTTTGTTGTTGGTTTTGTTTTGAAACAGTCTCTGTTGCACAGGCTGGAATGCAGTGGCTCAATCTCAGCTCACTGCAACCTCTGGCTCCTGGGTTCAGGTGATCCTCATGCCTCGGCCTCCCGAGTAGCTAGGACTACAGGTGCCCACCACTGCGCCCGTCTAGTTTTTGTGTTTTTAGTAGAGATGAACCGGCCGATTTCAAACTTCTGATCTTAAGCGATCCACCTGTTTTGGCTTCCCAAAGTGCTGGGATTACAGGCGTGAGCCACTGCACCCAGCTGCATCAATTTTTTAACTGTAATTTGCATTTTATTAGTAGGGCTTGAAAGGTAACAAAATATTTACAAAGGACATAAAAGAGATGAGTTTCAAAAAATTAGTATTTAATCATATATTTGTTAATAATTCTCATTTATCTTTTTCTTTCCCAGAGTGAGTTTAGGAATTTTCTCAGGTGTGTTTTTTATTGCTGTGATTTCAAACAGAATTCTAAGCCGTAGCTTTAAGAATGCTAGCTACCAAGGGAAAAAAGTAGGGAAAATCTCTCTTCCATTTTGGCTGTAGACAATGAAAATGTTTCCACAGGAAAATCTGGTAGATAATTGATGAGTTATATAGATTCGTCAAACCATCAGTACCTCCTTTTGCTGGGTAAATTTGTGACAGTGAATATCTCAGTTCTATATCCTGTTGTCTTGATTCGAGTATTAATGATATAATGTGGATGAAACGTGGTACTCTCCTAGAAGTGTCCCATAAACTGACTAATTTATTACTACATATTATAATTATTATTTTTTTTTGAGACAGGAGTCTCGCTCCTGTCACCCCCAGCGCTGGAGTGGCGGTGGCCAGATCTCCTGCTCAGCTGCAAGCCCGCCTCCCGGGGTTTACAACCATTCCTCCTGCCTCCAGCCTCCGAAGTAGCCTGGGACTACCAGGCACTCGCCACCCTCGCCGGCTAGTTCTTGTACTTTTTTTAGTAGAGACGGGGTTTACAGCCGTGTTAGCCAGGAAGGTCTCGATCTCCTGACCCAAATCGGTGATCCGCCGTCTCGCCCGCCCCAAAAGTGCTGCGGAATTACCAAGCTGAGCCACCGCGCCCGGCCTACATTATTTTTAATATAATAAAATATAAATAATAATATATTGTCTGAAAGAAGTAGACATATTTGCTTTTCTTATGGAGGTGTAAAATGCAAGCACCTTAGCCAGGTGCAGTGGCTCATGCCTGTAACCCCAGCACTTTGGGAAGCCGAGGGGGACTGATCACTTGAGGTCAGGAGTTCGAGACCAGCCTGCTCAACATGATGAAACCCTGTCTCCACTAAAAATACAAAAATTAGCCAGGTGTGGTGGCATATGCCTGTAATCCCAGCTACTCGGGAGGCTGAGGCAGGAGAATTGCTTTAACCCGGGAAGTGGAGATTGTGGTGAGCCAACATCACGCCATTGTACTACAGCCTGGGCAACAGGAACGAAACTCCATCTCAAAAAAACCACCAAGAAAAACAAAAATTTAGCCGGGTGTGGTGGTAGGCACCTGTAATCCCAGTGACTCGGGAAGCTGAGGGAGGAGAATTGCTTGAACCTGGGAGGCAGCGGTTGCAGTGAGCCGGGATAGCACCACTGCACTCCAGCCTAGGCAACAGAGTGAGAATCTAGCTTGGAAAAAAAAAAAAAAGCAAAGAAAAGAAATATTTCATTATGACCACTGAAAACAAATTCAGCTGATTTTTTTAATGAGAAAAAAATGTGCAGAGTGTGTGTCTGGCTGTGTGACAGGTAAGAAAAGAGAGCACCATCTAACTCATAATGGGAAGGGTGTTTCTTTCCATAAACTGTTCCTGGAGCACATAAAGGATGAAGAATTTTATTAATCACAAATATTTTCCAGGATTATCTATGTGTTTCATCTTTCCCCATCTCTTTTTCTTTGTTTATGCATTTCTTCCATTTGGCTTTTCCATGGCTGCATCTTATATATTAAACCAGTAAAGGTAACTACAGTGTTTTGATGAGTTCTGTGAGTAGCTTACTGTACCAAATTATTGAACTTCAGGGAGGTTATGGGAGTCCCCAGGTTTTACACAGTAGCTCAGAAGCATAGATGGGCCCTTGGGGTTTGTGACTGGCATCTGCCATGAGGACAATGTTGTGGGACGGAGCCCTGAATCAGGGTCT